GCTGCCTGTTCAGTGGTTCCCCCATCCCCTCCCCCCCCGCCCCCCACACACACACACTTATTAACAAACTTTCAGAACATCACTTAGAGGGGAATCCCCACGGCTGCTCACCGGTGTGTATTTATCACTCTGAGAACCAAGAGTGTGTGTGTTCAGACTCAGCTCCTCTGCTTATTATTTTGTTTCTACCAGTCATAAGGTTTGGACGAACACTAAATGAACTGGACAAAGTAACACTTTTTGGTGTTTTCAGACCGATGTCAAGGTTGTGTTTGTAACCTTAACAATTCACCTTAACATATCATTTTGTGGCTTCCTGTGTTGTAAAGTGTTTCTGAGCTCAATGTGACCAAAGACATCACACAGGTGGAAAACAAAATAAGCCATTATTTGGACATTTTCAATAAAACTTTCTTAAAAGATTGTTAACCACTGAAAATTTCATCAAAAGCTTTTTGCTTATTCTCCTATACATTTTTTTATTATATATTGAGTATTATTTAATTGGTCTTATGACTTTATTTGCTTCATCTCTGAGCAAAGATTTAGGCAAAACTTGCTGTACAACGTTTATTACATGATTAGCTACTAAATAAATAGCAAAAAACATGTAATACCTAACAGTCATTATTCAAACAGTAAAGTGGGTGACATATAGCAGGTCTTTCAGTGGTGTAACACTTTGAGAGCCTTCCTATTCCTTGCACAATTACACTTAAAATGTATGATTGGATTTAATTACACTACAAGTGTTTTGGTTTAGCTGCTTCACCAGAAGAACAACAGTTCTTTTTCTGCAGTACACACAGTAGCAGTAGAGTGACTCCTTACCTGACACGCGTCCACACAGCCATCAAGACCCGCACACAACATGTCAGAGGTCACGTGGTTGCCGTACACCCCAGGCCTCTTACAGAAGTCGCGGGAAATAAGTCTGATGTTGCCCTCCTGTAGACTGGAGTATCCTGGAGCCGCTGTCATGTAGAACAAAGAAAAGTCTTGACTGATTCAGCAACCTGTTCAGCAAAGACCGTGTTTGGTTTTTAAGCTGTCAGTGCAGATGGTTTTTAAACAGTTATTAAAAATACAGGTCCATATTAGAAACCACCCTGCCAAAAAAATAAAAATAGTTGTTTAAAGTCAACACTATAAAACAATGCTTCACGTTCAGTGACTGTATGAGTTGTTGTTTATGATTTAACAGTAAATGTAAAGTCATTAGTAAGTGGAAATTTGTTTAGGAGATTCAGCATGTTAAAAAACTTCTTTTTCACTGATCATACTATTAACACAAATACAATACAAACCTAATAACATTAAAGAGAGCCAATAGGATATAGCAAATAATGTTAAACAACTAATATAATAACTAAAACCAGTACCTGTTCAGGTTCATGACTACAGTAAACACTTGAATAATAACAAAGTGCTAACATTTAAGCAACATAAGTTTTTTTTTTTTTTGTAATTGTTTTTATTCTAAACACAAGGCATGAAGAAAATGTTGGGGCTTTATATACATTTTTTTTTTTTTTCACAATTTTTAATGGGCCTGTAACTGTGCCTCTTCCAGTAGATGGCCCCATGGGCGACCACCTAAGTACCCTATGGCAAAAGTCGTCTCTTGCTCAAATAAGGTAAACTAAAACATCTTCTGCATTTGCCAACTGCTGTCAAACGGTTTGTCACCAATCAGACAAACAGGACGGTCCCATAGTTCCAAGTGTCTCCATCACTCACTCTCATGTTTGTGTCCCCAGCCACTGATGGTGCAGCAGTAGTTGTCGGGGAAAGTCGTGCTTTTGTCTGGCAGACAGATGGGCTGAATGAAGGGCGTTCTCCTCACACAGCGACCGTCCTGCTTCTTTAGTCGGATCAGAACTGGAAAGAAAATATCCTGAGTTATGACATTCTCCCCATGTGTTCAAATATTTAGTCTGATTATTTTTTCAAATTAACTAGTAAGTTCTTTTGACAGACTAAGTTATGACAGACATTCTGCTGCTCAATGAAAATCCTACAACAAACTGCATGGCTGTGTAGGTGTGGGGGTAGGTGGAGGTGCAAAGAAACACAGCTGTTCATGGACTCACAGCTGTGCACACAGACTGGGGTATACTGTAAATGTGTGTTTTTGCTTGTTCATGAGTCACTTGCACGTGTGTGTGTGTGTGCAAAAATGTCTTCATACCAATGTCGTGCAGCGTGGGATTGAATGCCGAAAACTTCTTTGGAAAGATGTACTCCTCCACCTCGAACGATCGGGTGTTTGGACTGGTTACATTGAAATGGTGCTGGCCCAGAACCACACGGATCTGAGACCTCAGAGGGCTGAAAAGACAACATGTTTTTTTATCTATTCTGGACATCTGTCAAATACTGGTCCTCAGAGCAGCCTTATCTCAAACAACCGCTGGCTCCATTTCTAAGAACTGTCTGCAGATCTTTAATCCTCAAATTCTCTGACATCTATTACCAGCTATAATCTGTTCCACCATAGCCAAAAATAGAAAAAAGAGTAAACAGGTCCACTGCCATGAAATTAATCTATTAGTCTTACAACACTGTAACATGACCTGGTGTTAGAGGACAGGACTAAAATGATGACAAACTGGTTCACTTCTGCTCAAAACAGCTCTTCAAAGATGTAAAAGTTATCAGTTTAACCTCAGTTCTTTCATCTCCACCATGCAGAACAGATGTTACATGACATCAGGGTCAAACGTGTGCATTTGAATGTAAACAGCATCTGCGACACCAGGATTTTTTTAGGTTTTCCTCGAACTGCGGGCAGGTCTAAATATAGCACGTGTTCATGAAGTTGTGAAGCCGATGAGGTCAAAGTCTTTGCATGACGTTCCTTTGAATTGTGACCTGCTCAGTTATAGCAGCAGGGAAACAGAGCAGAGACTTGATACTTTCTGAGAAGTTTGAATTCATCCGCACAGACGGCTGTGGCAAAAACAAAATCCTTCAGTGGCAGTAATGACATTTCTAATTAACATTATTAGGATTATAAAACATTGTGGCACAACTGTGGCTTCAGCGGATGTGGCGACATACTTGCGAAAGAAGCAGTGAGCTGCAGAGATGATCCAGCAGGAAGAGATGAGGGTTCCAGCACAGAAGTCTGACTTCCCAATGTAAATTGCTGCTATCCATGGGTGGGTCCCCGGCAGAGCCGACGTCCCTCCTAATATCCGACCCCTAGCTATGGATAACCTCTTCTTGTGCTTTTTCCCACACACGGGCTTTTTGGTTGGTTTTGTGGGGTTGGGTTTGTGAAACGTTACCACCCTTCGAGAGGAAGCTGCAGGAAAGTAATATGTCAATGTGAATAAATACGACTAAAGGCTACTACGAACCTGTATTAGATAATATAAGAACTACTACTACACTCTTCAAGCAAATGTTACTGCAATCCTATACTACCATTTTGCTTGCATAGTTCCTACAGAATACCTCTCCTGAATACTTTGGATTTCAGTGCTGGCTGTAATCCCCCTGTAAGAAGTAAGCAAGCTCTTCTGTTAAAATAAAAACGCAGGGAAGAGCACTGGATGGGAAATGTCAATCTTACAAGTAATCTATAGGACCAACAGCATAACGTCAAAAGAAGCCAATGAGAAGATGAGTGTGAAGGTTCCTCAGGTTTAGTCTGACCACTGGCCATTGGTTTTGCAATTACAGATACAGGAGAAAATACTACTACTATGTCAAAGGAGAGAATGACACTTTGACAATACAATGACAACTGCAGTTCCACATACACAAATATATCCATTTGTATATGTACATACTGTATGCATGTACAGTACGGTGGTTCCATAGTGTAGCAGTTAGCAGGCCTGGCTCAGAAGCAGAGAGCTTGATGCCTTGGTTCGATTCCCAGAGGAACCACATGCTCAATAAAGGTTATTCTCCTCTGTAAGAACACATTGATGTAAATGTATGTACACATATACAAACATAACCACATAAATACATTCAATCTTCAATATATACACTGACTCTTTCACACACACACATATATATCGTATATATATGTGTGTGTATGCTATATATGTGTGTGTGTGTGTGTGTGTGTACGTGTGTAGAGCGGGGGGTCCTATCTATCTAGTGGCTAGTGTAAAGTCACAACTTCAAACTAAAAATGTTCAAATAGTTGAATTCCTCTACTTACACACAGACATCACACAGGGGGGAACGTCACAGTATTCCCAGGAGATGGCGTCGTTACTAAGTGTGTAGCACCACGGTGCCTTGTCTCCATCTGGGTTCCTGCACACACAATGATGAGGACTTTATCAGCAAGTCAGGACATGGCCTCTGACCAAGTGCATTCTTATGGAGACCAGGTGTATTGTGTAGTATTTTTACACTATTTTTTGTTTTATTTTAATTCTTTTAACCCTCATTTTCCATAGCTTTGCTGCTCTTGGGTCATTTGTTTTGACTGTTATTTAAAGTCACTCTAAATAATCTTGGAAAGTTTCCAGTGTTATATTGCCTCAGAGTAGATTAAATGTTATGGCTCACCAATGGAAGTGAGAAGCACCACAGAGGGCCACAAATAACATAAGTAGAGGCAATAAAGTAACATTCATCAGCTATAAATTATAATGTCTGAAGGGAAAGTACGGGAGAATCTGTCTTTGTAGATTAGCCATAATTACCATTTGTGCCATACTTCAAAGTAAACTATTTGTTTTGATGCTGCTGTACTTATATCCTATAGCTGGGGAGGACGGGTGGCAGATAAATAACAGGATGCCTCAACACACCTGCAGAAAGCATGCTCGCCAAGGCCCCTGAGCGATGATGCAACCAGGGTGCCCACATGAAGCTCATTGTGCATCAGCTCTGAGTTCCACGGCAAACACCGGGCTCCAGACACCGTGGTGCTGGCCAGCCCTCGATAACTCTTCCCCCGGCCGTTGTAGCATTTCGCCTCAGGCTCTGCAAACACACACAAACACACACTCAGTGTATCCATGCCCCTGTGCAGCAAAGGTGTGTAAACACCATGAATGAAAGCAAATTACTTCCGGCCACAGATGACTATCTGGCAGATGACAGATCTCCTGACACAAGTTTAAAAAAAACATCCCTAAGAAACCACTTTGTTTGCACCAACAGTTAAAGACTGACTGCACTGACTGCTCATGTTTGCACCTGCTGCCATAAAATTAATCAATTTTCTCACACCCACATGCATGACCACACACGTAGCACCTGAAGTTAAAAAGAAAAAAAGAAACTGGGACCGGGAGAGTACATGACTGTTTATATTTCTGAGTTACAGCTGCTCTGGTGACGCATGGAGCTCTGCAGCCATTTAAGACATGAAATCTCTTCCCACTGTATCTCTATAATAATGACATCCATTAGGCGCTGTGACGAGGTCCCATTACCTTATGCTAAAATGTGGTTGAAGTGACTCAGACCTGTATTTTTTGTGGTGGTGTAGACAAAACCGTTTTCTTAAATGTACATTTAAGGCAATGAAATTGCAAAATGTATTTTAAAAAAAGAAATGAAAAAGGTAGAGAAAGAGAAGGTTGGTAGAGAAGGCATTAAAGGTAGACACATTTGTTTTTAATGGGATGGTACAAGAAACTTGTCTTAGGGAACCTGTCTTCTAAGGAGCCTTCTGTCCTCTCAACAGACAGCATTTTACTGCTTATCATGAATCAGGACACTTAGAATTTGCAGCTTTATATTTTATTTTCACCAACTTTCAGTCAAAACCAGTGGTGTCAAACTCCCAGCCCCTGGGTCACTTTCTGCCCATGTGTAGATTTCACACTTTTTTTTTCGGATATCAAAACGCTTCAGTTGGTGGTTTACGAATGAGGTAAATGTATCTGTTTATGTGGTAATATAACACAGTAGTTATATCAAACCATTTATTCTAAAATATCTGGGGATTTTTTTAATTGAATATTAAATATGAAAACTGCCCTCCTATGGTCTTACGGCTGCAGCAGAAGCTCCCAGCTCCTTTAAGTTTGAGACCCAGAATCAAACCTAACACATGACCCGTTTCACTGTCCATTCTTTTTAAAAATTCCTGTTGATGCCGTTAAACTTGATTCAATTCTGAAGGAGCCAGACCTCAGACCTCCAGCCTTCTACTCACCAAGGCCACAGTCAGAGCCGCTGAAGCCATGTCTGCAGTTACACACTTCCTTCCCTGTGCTTGTGATCAGTCGACAGGTCCCACCATTGTGACAGGTGTTGCTCCGACACACTGCAAACATTAGATGTCATATTAGGCAAGACGTTTCATTTGATATATATGTGTTTTTGTTTAAATGTAGGTAGTTTGAGATGGAACTAGAAACTCAGTTGAGATGGTTTGGAGATGACATAGTGGGACGTAGTGAAGGATATGAAGATCATTGGTGAAACAGCAGTGACAGCTGCTGAAGGGAGCGACCAAAATTAAAGTCATCCATCTATAAAGTTTATTTTCCTTTATTCTTGTCTCTTCTACTATTCTTCTACTACTTTGTATTGTATTGTACTGTTTGTTTGCAGCAGCAATCAAGGCTGTTCCCTCTCTATAATCACCAAAGGTAAAAAGTGACCCCCGAATGTAAACATCGACACAACAGATCTAATGACTTCATTGAAACACTTTACTTTTTTCACTTAAACTGACTATGTCAGTGTTTTGTTGCTCACATTTGTGAGAGATGCCAAGAAGACGGAGATCACCAAAGCTCACGCTCATGTCAGGGCATGACATTTTTTGCAACACACAAAATTGCTCATCAAATGTTTTTTCCAATCCATTACCAGCTAATTTTAGTCATTGTTGTCTATAGTGCGGTTAAAAACAAATACTCAACATTGAGAGGATGTAGGCTTGGATTTTTTGTCAATGACTTCTGTAAGGTGAGCCACAATCATTGTGAGAAAAAAAGTCTCGCCTCTTTATGCCACTGAAGATAAAAGCGTATGGACCCATGGGGCGTGTCCTAAAATGCCATCACTGAGTCACAGTGAGTCATAATCCCCCATGGCACAGTGTGACTCTAAATACTACTGAGTTAGTATCAGAGGGTGGCCCTGATCCATCGTTCATGTTCTGCACAGATATGAAACTGTCAACTTCTACCCCTCGTTAGCTTTTGTTTTTGATTAAGGTGCTGCCTTCACATGCATGGAGAGTTAAGTACAAAATAATTCCCTCCTCCTCTGTTCAACTGGCTATTAAAGTGCAGCACAAAAGCCTGGCGGCAGACGCAGTCAGGGCCAAAGAAAAAGAGGTGGCGCCTTACTTGTGTAGCGGACTCTTTCACAACTGATTTCCCCCGCCACACATGTGCACTGTTCCACATTACGGAGGTGAATTCGTCCCCAAGACGCTCCGGTGTCATAATAGCGCTGGTGTAGGGTTTCATAGCACCTTCCTGACAGCGCCACACAAAAAAAAAACATAAAAGGGAGACAGAATGTGTAATGTGAGAAGAAGCTCAGTGGAGCGGTGAGTAGATATCTGTGATGGATGAGTTTTGCCAGACACATTCAGCATGAACTCGTGTGTAGACAGAAGTTCCTAATGTTTGTTTTTGGTGCCAATGAATTCAACCTGCTTCAGTTAGAGTTGAAATTTACAGAGCACATGACTCATCATGTTCATTTTAACATGGTCTGAGATAGAGTTTGAATTACATTACCCCCCCAAAATAAATTAGTGGAGCATGAAATTGACTTTTTGTCCATAACAGTATTCAATTTGGAAAATCAGTCACACATTCTTCTTCTTCGTTCTTTACAAGTGGGCCGTATGAAATGAACGTTTGAAACACATAGAAGGGCAAAGTCAAAAAGACCAGTTCTAAGACCAGTTTGGGGAGGAGGAAAAAAACCTCTACTTCTTATATTTAAGTCAATACACAACAGTGAGTTCAATCCAAAGTTTGTGGAGCCTTATAATATTTAGCAAAACAGAAGAAGAATATGAGAATAACATTTGAAATTAAATTATTAAGCTCCATTATTACAGGTATGTATATGGTTAAGTCAAATAAAATAAGATGATAAATCAAAGCGATGGTATAGATACCATGTTAAACAGTGGTGTCTCTGATACTGGACCAGCTGTTAACAGAGAACCATCGTGGTACTGTAACACTGCAGGTGTTACATTTATCAAGATAAAATTCACCTACTCTGTTCACAGTGTGGTCCAGAGAAGCCGTCTGTACAGGAGCACATAGACGTCTGTCTGTGTGGAACCAACATGCAGACGCCTCCGTTCTGACAGCGGTTCACTTGACATGAGTCAGTTACTTTGCACGTCAGGGACAAAAGTTAGAGTTAGAGTCAGTCCCCGTGACAACACAACATGAATTTATATGCACTTGATTATTACACTTACTATTCAGTTGGTTTCCATCTAGTTTACAGTATCCATACAGACCATCACGGTCAAAGTTAGAAGTGAGAGAGCACCTGGTGGGGGGAGGGAGGACAATGACAAAAACAATCAAAGCTTGACAATAAACTGTTTGGTACTTTTTAGATTATAGGGTGAGATTCAGAGTCAGATTACATAAAGCAGCCACAGGAAATACATTTAGCTAATCTGTAGATTTATATTAGTAAATTAATCATTTCTTTCTCCCAGTCTCACGTCTATAATGGAGCATGTTACTACTTATAAATTATAATTAAATTAATCATTTCTTTCTCCCAGTCTCTCCCAGTCAATCCCATTTAGAGGAAAAGGTACAATAAGACAGAACCCAGAATTTGGCACCACATCACGGTTAATACCTGCCATTTGGTCACTCACTATGATCCAGTAGGATGGGTTCTCTGGTATTTAAAAACTTGAATTTAAAAATGTATCAAGGTATTGAAACTAAGACAAATATAATTTAAATAAAAACATAGTTCTGCAGTGCATGTACATCAGAATAACTTTGTTTTGTCACAAAGCAAAATGCTACTTGTGGACAAAGAGCAGCAGCAACAAATAAATGTCACATCACGCTTTCCTATAAATCTATAACCAGCTCATCATTAATTGTAACAAAAAAGTAAACATTAAATAACTTAATACTACGAGGCACAGCATCTTTCCCATGTACCTGGTCACCCGTCAGTTGCTTTACATTGCAACTACAGTTTGTAATGTTCAATTTTTATGTAGGCTCTACTGTGCAGTTAGATGATCTTCTCTTCTCAGGTGAGGCACGTTTATCTGTCTAGCACAATTTCATCAAAAAGTAATTATAAAGTGCTTATAATTACTTTTAAAGAGGCAAAAAAAAAATCCAAAAGACAGAGCTCTTCTGGGACAGAGAGCAAACCTGACTCTTTTCATAGTGAACTAGAAATGCATTTCAGGGTGACTTAATTATCTTAATTATCTTAATTGCAGGTCTTCTTTTAAAATAAAAAAGGGTTTATATGTTTAGCTGTTTGCTTTGTTATAGCAACTTGTTTCAACATTATATTCATGAACACATCACACAAATATTCAGGGTCCAGTGTCTCTGATGTGTAGGTGGACCAGAGAGGCTACGCCTCATACGGTGTAATTGTATACATTGCTCCAACTTGCAACTTGGCACCCACCCTACCAGTGTCATATCTAAAGAATGACGATTGCAAAGGCCTTCAGTAAAGCATCAGACTTTTCTATCTAGCAATACACCATTTTATATTTATATTCTATCAACTTCTGACAATGCATTGTCGGTCACAGATCCACTAAGCTTCATTCACAGCAGAGTGTGTTTCATAACTAAATGACAGGAACACAACCGCAGTACGCAGTAACAAAATAAAAGTTGAGACTGCTGCGTGGAAAGATTCTTTAAGGTCTCCAGATAGTATGCCAAAGGTTTTTTTTTTATTTGTAAGTATGCACAGCAGGAAATGAGGCGTAGCTGCACCAGATATATTTAATTTAAATTAAAAACCTACTGTTTACTTGAAACAAATGTTGGTAATTAAAATAGAAAAGGCATGGACATTTCTCTTACTAAAAAATATCAAACTGTGACACCTAAAAACTAAACCAAATCATACATTTTGTGTATCATTGCACCCCTAATGTAATATATATATATATGTGTTAAGATTCTCATTCATCCAGGTCATGTTATTCATGGAGTTTGGTTGTAAGCAACTTTTTTGAGCTTGAATGACGTTCAAGCGTCATCAGTTTCTATATACATTTTTATATCCTTTTTTTAATCGTTTTTCTTTCTTTTTCTTTTCTTTTTCTAACAATTTCTTCCCGTTGCTATGACACCAAGTCACAATCCAGCACAAAGAGTGTTACCTCATTAGAGTACTGCATTACCTTCCCAGATGACACAGTTGCACAAATCCCTCATTACTGCGAGCTGTAATTAAGAATGACTACACACTGTTGTTAAACACTGTATTAGTGTCACGTTCTCAACTACAATGTGATGGAAAATAACCGTTTCTGCTTTTTTATCCCTGCGGGTCTGAACCGAAGCATATATGACCAAGCAGAAGTTACAAAGTGCTGAGTCGTCTCTTCGCGTGCGTTTGTGTGTGGCAACTCTGGATGATGACATACACACTGGATTAGTTTGCGTAAGCTGAGATCCAAATGAGGCAGAGTGACTTACCATGGCCTTGAAGACAGAATGGTGATGCAGTGATGGTGAAGTCTTCCCCCCTGACGAAATGGGAATTTACATTCTTTGCCCATTGTCGTCATAACTGGCAGGAACCAAGACAAACTGTGAGTAATTGGTTGTGTTCTGCTGCACAAAGTCTGCTTAGTTAAATGTTTTTGGTTTTGCTGGTCACTCATTTGATGACATTGTAAGGTCTAGGAAAAACACCCAACATAATTCTAAACAATTTTGATAATTAAACAATGGCTGGAAAACTACTGACACTAAATACCTGGCAGTAGTCGAACAAAAACAAATGTATAGAGCCCTCTTAGCACCTACCAAAGGTTGACCAAAGTGATTCATGCTGTATTATTTATAGTCAAACGACAAAATTAAAAAAATAGACACAGATGAGAAAGAGTGCAGGTAAAGAAAACAGCAACCATAGAACAATGTTACATGTCACAACTGTTTGGCATTTCTAAGATTTTGAAAACGCCCCAGATCATTATCGTGCAAATGTTGGATTAAAGGATGATTTATTGGAAATATTAAATCTCTCAAGTGCGATAGGGCAAGGCCATAAAAAAAAAGTTTACAGATAACCTGAAGCACAAGAAGAAAATTTCTGCTTTAAATTACTCTATTTTTTTTATAATCCTTGGTTCCTGAAATTATTAAAAAATAGTTATGGTCGGTCAGCATATGCAGACATTATATATTATAGAGGCAAACAGCACAGCATCAATCCAGGGCAAAAGCCCTAAATATTGAAGTACTGCAGTTGGAAATGACAAAGCAACAACAACATGTACCAGCAGAAATAATTACAGATGCATTGATGGAAGAAGGCAACGACTGATGGACACATTTGTCTGAATAAATTAATGAAATAATAATTACGTACACTTTCCCTGAAAATACAAACATTTAAGAAAACAAAAGGACACATGATTAGTTGTAGATTTTTATCTGCCAAGTGTGATGGCAAAAAAATTATTTAAATAAAAATTGATTTGACTATTTTTTTATATCAACTAATTCGCGCCCAAATATAGCAGTGATTTAGGAACTGGTTGCATCAAACCCTGAACCTTCTGCTGGAAGGTGAGCAGTCTCTCACTGCAACACTCATCTCACAGTCACTCTCACGCACAGGCTCAACAACAAGCCCGAAACCACACGACCTGTGCTGCCTAAAGGTGTTGTACTTCACCCGCAACCCTTGGGTAACAAGTTTAATCTCACCACTATGCCACAATTAATACTAATTACTTTGTGACAAACACCTTAAGAATGACATATATATGCCATATATGACATGGCATATATGGATACAAATATCTATTCCAGAACACAAAGACAAATCAAAGAAATATTCATTTAACCTATATTTGGTCAGTTTATCTCTTCATACACCTGGGTATTGCCATTAACAGGTAGCACATTTAAATTCCTGCCATTTTAAATATAAATTATATAAATATAACATTTTTAAATATAAAACACAACCAACTTTTGCTCTGTCTGAAAACAAAAATACAACAACAAAAAGTCTTTGAAAAATTTACCACTACCTTTAATCTGCATCATCTCATGTTTATCCTTGAAACTTAAAAAAATAAAAATAAAAATGACAACGCACCTTTACGACTTTCCCAGGACGGCTCTGTGGATGTGGCTGTTCCATTTCCCGGGAAATACATGCGCTGAAAAAGCATGGAATATAGTTGAGTCATTTGGTTTCTACAGATTTTTCGCGGGTATTCTGTAAAAAAAAAAGAAAAAAGAAAGGCACAAAAACTTACCGTCCTTGCACCGAAGACACAAGGTAGAAAAAGTAAAAGTAGGAATGTCATGCTCCAAGTCTGCGTCCGTCGTTCCTCTGCTGAAGGTCTTATTGTTTGGGCCACTGTCACGTTATATCTGTCAGTTCCTGCCGTTTCAGTCCGCACTTGGTCATAGGAGAAGTTGGAAACCCTGCGAGTATTATCCTGTCCCTGACAATGTTCAGCAGTATTGAGTAAAGGCGCTGCGTCATTAGGCTTGGCTCCGTCTCTGAGGCATCCTTTAACGCTGCTGGATGGTTGGCTGGTGTTTCCCAGCTCCGGAGGACGCCCACGGTTTTAACATGGCAAGGTAATGACGGAGAAAAGAAGGGAAGTGGGAGGAAAAAAACTTTCCCGAAGTAGAGGTACACCAGATATATCCAACCCCTGCTCCGAGTCAACACCAACGAACTCCAACTGTAAATCTAATGACTATGAATGTTCTAGAAACTTCTTCCCCAGAACACACTAACGTTAGCACTTTGCTCTGAGTCGTCTAATTGACTTGAACTAGATTGGTCCAGGTCGGTAACCCCCTCCCACCCCCACCACCGGGTTAATTGAATAAACTATAACCACATGTACGCGTGAACCGCGGGAAACTAGGTAAATATTTGCAGTATTTATTTAAGACCCTCTAGAACTGTAACAATGGGGCACATGAGTTGAAGTCCTAAAGTATTATTTTAGTACTTAATATTTATTTTATATCAATGTTTGCTTAAAAAGAAAAAAAAACGTGTGATTTACGAGTGTGATTGTCAGTGGGTAACAGTTTGCTTGATATCGGAACTTGTCCACGAGATGAAATATACCCAGTAGGGTGGAGTAGTGCATTCAAATCCTATAGTTTGAAGCAGGATCACAGTTTTGGGATTAGGAGGTTCAGCCAAGACTTCAAATTGATAGAAGAAAAAGTGAGTGGACAATAAAAGTAAGTCTAACGATTTTTTTTAGGCACAGTGAGGTGCCAGGCGGGGGGCGTGAGGGGCTTCCAATGGAATACGGCACACTGGACATAAGTGTACCACTGCAACTCATACAGTGGTTTGTACAGATAAAAATATACATCTGTATAGTATTTCAATTTGAGAGGGTGGGGGTCGGAGGGGAGGGCGTGAAAACATTTCTGTCCCCAAGGGGGGGGCATGACAGAAAATAACTTAGAACCACTGCATTAAAGTAACCAGGTGTTCCTGCTCTTCCCAGGTAATGCACGTGGAAGCAGCTGGGAGTTTAAAACAGTGATCCTGAATGTCTTCAAGAAGCAAAAGGAAAAATCCAGTTTGACGGCTGATCTAAAATCTGAAGGGAATTTAAAGTTATAAAATACCAATTCACTAATTTAAGTAGATTTGAAAATTGATTCAGCCCGGCTTACCCTTTAGAATCCGACTGCATTCCAGCTGTGACATGCTGTGTCATGACAAACTCCCCACACTCGTAATCTACACCTCTAATTTTCACCAGCTGGAATTATATCTGTGTCCAGATGCTGAGGCAGAAAGGCAGAGATCAGGCTGGACCACGTCCATGTGGATAAACATTCTCCAGGTCAGTCTGTTTGATGTGTTTGCACAGAGGAAACTGTTCCACTGAGACAACTACATGGTAATCATTGTCTTTGCAAAAAAAAAAATGCCAAAAAGGTCATTTAAGATGCCTTAAGGTCCAGCAGGACACAGCTGTCCTCATACTTTCAATGCAATTCAATTACACTTGTCCTGTTTAAGCGTTTTCAGACAAAAAGGGGGAAAAAAAGTATTTAAACTTTAACAGTTAATCCAACCAGAACCAGGACAAGTGTCTACAAGTAGGAGTGAATCAGCAGCATTTGGAGAGTGCAGTTGGCCCGATAGGGCAAACTGCCAAACATATGACTCAGTCTACGAGGCTAACAATATATACAGTCACATGAAGCCCCTACTCATCCTCATACATATACGTGTCTTAGCCTTCCTCCTCATTGGCCTGTTCAAATTACACACTGTAGCATCAAGGACTGATAACCATAGCCCTTTATTTTGTCTAATTGTATTTATTATTTGACTACTGAAAGTTTTACTCTATAGCAGGAGTCTCAAACTTACATGATCTGAGGGGGCACTGTTGCCATCGTCACCGCCACTGAAAGGTTAAATAGAAAAGGTGTAAAAAGTACTTTTTTTAAATATAACAGAGCAGTATTTCTTCCTGGCAACAAAGTATTGTTGCTATTGTAAACTCTACAGGATTTGTTTGGAGACCTGCACATGATTTGTACTACCGAAAGACTTGGAAATAAACAGATCTTGTCGTCAGCCGGCCTCCTTTACCTCCTCCACGGCTGCTGGAACATGTTGAACAGGAAGTCTGCAAAAAAAAAGAAAAGATTTTAATTATTTAATGCTGCAGGTTTTGGATCAGAAACTGTAAGTGAGGGAAACGAAACAAAAAGGACACTGAAAGTCTCGGAGCCATCAAAGGTTTTAATCAGTTAACATTAGAACAACCTCAAAACCACAGCAGAGGACAGTACAGACAATAAAGTTACTGCCATGTATTATCTGTAGAACATAGGAAGGAGATTTAAACAGGAAACCACTGCATGTCCAGGGAAATGTAGCTTTTCCTCCATGTAATCACCACAAAATCTTAGCTCCAAACAAAGATCTTAGCTGTTTACCACTCTCTGGCAGAGCACGCGTCATTCCAACAAATCAAGACTTTTACTTTGAACCTTCTAATGAACTATTCTTTTACCAAACATTTTGCACATTTCTTCCCTATATTTTAACTCTTTTGACACTCCTTAACGAGGAGCGGCTTCTTTTAACGTCTAACTAATTGATTGACGTAAACTTCGTCAGAACATGGGCTAAAAACTAGGACTCTGACTTCTTCTTCTGTGATCGTCCTCTGTTGGCTGCATCTCACAATCGATCTGCTTTGCGCTTAATTAATAAACTATACAATATCAAAACAAAATCACTGTCCCAAAAAAATAACAAGCATTACTAAAAACCAACGAGGGCACATCAATAATTCATGAGAAACACACAGTACAACATCCATCACCATATCATTAGGGACACTAGGGAGTGGTCATTTACAGCTCCTCTACATGCAGCCCATCAGTTTGTCCCATGATCCTTCAGAGACAGTGCCTCAGGAGGAAAAAGTGCAGTAGTGAGGGAACGGAGGGAGAGGGTTGGGGGCGTTCCTTTTCAGACAATTGTGGCCTTGTAAAGTTCCGTCTTGCAGTCATTGCCCTCCGGCGGGTTGCGGCCAGTGGGTGGCAGCTGGACCGTCCTCATCTTAGTCTGACACTGACGCAGCTCAGCAACGTAGCCCTGGAAGCTCAGGCTGAGCTCCGGCTCCTCCTGCTGGGATGTTTCCTGGGTTCTCTCCTCCAAGTGAACTCCCTCCACATCCATCACCTCCTGAGCGGTCGATGCTGCTTCAGGTCTGTCCCCCAGGGTTTGAGCCATAGGTGTGATATCTTTTGGTTTCTCTGCAAACAGAATAAAGAGATTGGACATTGGTTGAATTGAAAAATATTTACAGCTGCCTTTAATGACTTCCTTCACCACGCTAACCTACTCTACATGACGCTAAGTGTCTTATTGTGCAAGGCACTAGATCCTGTGTGTGAACTAAAATGAGTTGTGATAGATTTACTGTTTACTCTGATGCCCCTTTGAGTCAATTGTATTATTTGTGTGAGTGTTTTAATTAAGTTGATCAAACATGGAGTGTAACAGAGATCCAAGCAATGGTTTCCCTTAAAATTACTAATGCAAAAAATGCACCAAGTGCACTAACATACAGTCTTAGCAATTTATATAGCTATTGTCAACTTTCAACTATTTTTATCTATCATCTATTTTTAACTAAGTTTTGTTGCACCTTTCTACAGTAAATAACTCAAATTATAAAAATCACGACATCCTATATTTGTGCATCACTTGAATGACCACCATGTTACAGTGCAGTTGTATAATCCAGAGAGCATGACATCACAGTTCCACAGGAAAGAACATCACAATAAATACATCTGGATGTAATCAGCTGTCTACTGCCATGCGTGGTACATTTACCAAACACTCGTTACGTCATTACACAGCATGACATCATCAGAAGAGCATGGCCCACAACTCATAAAGTTTAGAGAACACCCTGTATGCCACTTACGTTCCTCCATCATCATGGAAATATATTTGTCAGGCAGTATTATTTATGATGAGTAATACAACCCTCTCCTCGTCATTTGAGCCCTTTGGCCCCACACACTCTAAACACAGAGGCCCTGAGAGACTCAGATGTAGCTCTTTAACACACCGACTCCACCGACTACACTGGATGTGTCCAGTACATGTGTAAACACAGTGTGAGAGTCGACAGCTGACCTCACTCACATCTGATCACAGACCTTTACAACCAACTCGAGGAGCAGAGCAAGCTGGACAAAGCTGAAGCTGAACTATTGGGGGGAAAAAGTCATTTTGATGTTGTTTTCTCATTGTTCTGTATTTTTTTCTTTACATGTACTGTATTTATAAATATACCAGCTGTAATGAATATTACAGCTGGGTACACTCACAAATTTTTCGATCACGCCATTTATGATTAATCGTGATCATAATTATTTACAGTTTATCATAATTAATAGAGAGTAAATCAACCTTCCTGAATGTGTTACACACAAAAAACATTTTTGCTGGGACAGAAAGACAAATAACAGCAGGTAGTTGCTTGTGTTTTACACCTGTTTTTAATTTAACTTCTGACTAATTTAATTGATTTGATTATTGGAAATGTTGATACGATACAAGTTCAAGAAAAATGTGCAAAAGTATGACTCAAAATTTAGCTTCAGAGTCGGTGGATTTTAGTCATTACTGTGAATCGCTTTGAGGTCTTGAGGATATGTCGTGCTTTGATGAAACAAAATCTTTTGCCCCCAGCATGTTAAAATGAGAGCATGTGTGCTAACTGTGTGAAAGAGCAATGGTTGGTGGATGCACAGAGCAGTGGTTGATGCCAACCTGACACACAAACAGATCTAGACTACTGCAGTGATGACTGCTACTGAAGGGCGCAGTTTAAAACGATTACTAAAAAAAGAGAACCCAGACATGTTTAAATTACGTTACATGTGAGGAACAACAGTGACATCATGAAACAGTGTTTCCCTAACTATCACCACTCAAATAGCTGTCCACATTGTGCGTCACCTATAAAGTTTCTCAACTACTTTTCCCCCTGAATCTTGATATTTTACATATTCCTTATAACTTTTCCAGTGGCCAGTCTGGTCACCATACTCACAGAGTCAGCAGCAGCATGATTCTAAGACAGAGCGGCTCAGGCTGGAACAACCCCAGCTACAACTGTCCAAGACCTGCATTGGGCTCTTAGGTCTTCGTCAGGCCTGGGGTCAGCCACTGCACAGAGATTGGACAGTGGTGGGGCTGGGGGCGCTAAAGACAAATGAACGTGAGGGGAGAGGAGCCATGTGGTGTCTCTGGTGCTGCTTACAGGAAACAGAGGCTGGTTATAGAATACTTGTGCTGTTTACTTTGAGACATATTCTAATATTCACACTGTAAGAAACAAACTCTTCCTTAGTATTTTAATAAAACAATAAACCCTGTGACTCCAACATCTGCGTTCTGTTATCTACAGTATGATATCTATCCAGGGGCAATGAGATTCTAATCACTCTTGCTGTTTTGGTTTACGTCAGCCGCCACGGAGTGGAGTTACACAGAGAGGAGTCACTGTGTGATACCATCCCCTAGTGGCCGTCTTAGTCCATGCAGACAGTACGCGATAATGTAGTGAATAATCGAATTACTCTCCCTGACTTATTATGACTTTAGATTCATCAAGACAGAACTTAATAATTAAAATATCCAAGGTTGAATAGTTTACCACTTATTTAATCTAGTGAAATGTGTCACTGTTCTGATCCTAACAAACCCATTTACATCTAACATGCACTTTTTTCTTCTGACTCTATGACCTGCAGTGTTTATTGTAGCTTGATTTCTTCAAACATCAAGTAGCTTTGTATAGAAGCATCTGCTAAGTGTAATGTAATGTAGTGGTTCATCATTTACTTTTTTGCTTGATAATGTTAGGTTACTCTGTGAGGTAAGATTACCTAATTGTTTTTAACCAGAAAATAAAAGAAATGAATAATATCTATTCTCTTAATTTCTACCTTTAATACATTTTATTCAGGCTAATTGTATTTTAAATTGTTATTTTACAATAATTATTTTGACTTAATGTAATATTCTTTTTAATATTTCTGCTACTTTTTTCCAATACCGATTGACTACCATAAAACTGTTTAGTGAATGAAACTAAATTAAATTCAGTGCACAAGAAAATGTGAGTCTAATTTGTCTTCATACTAGGTAGATTAGATAAAATGGCATAATCGATTTTTAAAAATGTAGTTGCATCAAATAAAACATCTTCTTCAAAAGAAGAAGATAGCATTTAGTCTAAAGGAATTTTTAAAATAAACAAGATAACAATTTAAAAAAGTGTTTGTATGGCTGTATTTTCAGTTCCAGTATCACAGGGTTGGCAGTTGGTTCTCAGATTGTTTCACAATATTATTTTGGTTTTTGAGATTGTAAGACATTTAAAACGGAACTCGGTTGAGTAATTTCATCTATTTTTCATTGAAACAGCAGAGGGCGTCACAACAGCAAAGTCACTGACTTCCACAGCCTCCCAACTTGTCTGCGCTTCATTTGTTCTCGAATGTTAATTATCACTGACACTGTCTTTTCAACCAAATATTAAAGATTAAAGACCTAAATGTTTTGGTAAAAAAAAAAAAGCAATATCTGTAGATGCAAACAGAGATCCTGGCACTCAGAGGTAGAATTGTTTAAATACGGCTCTGTTGAATCACAGCGTGTTCTATTTTAGCTGATAAGTAATTAAAAACTGTGGGAGCAGCAGAGAAATGGGCTGGAAGACAGATGAAAACCAGTAGTGACAGTTTCTATCTGTAGCTCAGTTAACGCATAAGGTTACCATGGAGCCGGGTGGTGGAAGGAATCAGGCTCGTGCACTTAGCAACCAGAAAATAGCAGCCAGCCTGTGAAGGAGCTGCGTGGATTCAATTTCTCCTCATCATCTTGCTCTCATCCTTGTCTTTTATTAAAAGCAGTATTCAACATGAGGCGGTGATGCCAAAGAGAACTCGTTTACTCTCTTCATTAGCTGTTGCGGATGGCAGGCTGCTCTTCAAAGGAGGCGTCTGTGCTGACAGGGGAAACACTTTGATTGTCGCTTATCTTCCTTTTTATTCTTGTGCTCTCTGTTTCAAAAAAGCTTTTTTTAGAGCCTGGCTAATTGGAGGACTGAACGTACAATGACACACACAACATGACAAGTGACGCTGACAAGGGGACATCACATGCAGAGAAAACCATCACCATTTAAGATCAACTTGTCCAACTGATTACTTCAAGTTTTATTCCTTCTCACACACAATGAGAACAGAGGAGTTTCAAAAATCAACACACCGCACCCCAGCAGAGGTTAAGCATCTGAGAGAACCATCACTGCAGCAGACCCACAATGCAACACTCAAGCTACACGCCACAAAGCACTGACCCAAAAGAAAGCATAAGTCAAGCAAACCAACAACTGCACAGGTGAACCCATTCATCTACAACAAAACCCAACAGACATGTCACAGTGAACAATCAGAGAAAACACTGCACACAACGTACACAAAGGAGTGGGAGCTGACAAGAGAGAGAGAGAGAGAGAGAGAGAGAAGCCACAAGATGAAACGGAGCTGAGCTGAAGGAGAATGAAGGAAGGCATGTGGAGGAGGAGGGTGGAAGGATGGATGGGTGGGTGGGTGCTTCACTGACAAAGGTGTAAAAAGACAGACGAGGGTGATTTCAGAAGTCTAACATTTATTAGATTCACTCAATCACAGGTACAGAGATTCTCACTGGCACTTGATTATCGACAACAGGAATCTGGAGAGGCGGTGAATGACCCAGATCAAGAATGACGGGCAATTCAACAATGTCGATGGCGCTGAGAAGCACTTGTCCTTCACCGACTAATTATTTCTCTGCCGTTGCTTGGATTCATTCCTGACGGCGTTCAGTGAAAGGAAGTGTCACACTGACATTGTTGAACTGCTCTTATATAGAGGAGATGGGAGAGGGAAGGATACAGCATTTGATCAGGGGTGACTCTTAGGCTGTTTGCACCGTGACAGTCACATGGCTACGAATTGTCACAACAATCCATCAGTCTCATCACGTTCAGTCCCCGTCCTCAGTCCATCCCGTCCTGACTACAGGACTATAAAATGTTCATCATTCATCAGTAACACATTATGACTGTGTATTATTGACATGACAGGAAGGTACATTGTCATGCACTAAAACTGATTATGACGCTAAAATAAACTACAGATACTGAACAAAATGTACAAAATATCACTATTTACAGACATACTATATATATATATACTGTATATATATATATGTATATATATAAATGACTTTAAAGAGTGGCAAACTGAAGAGTCCAAATCAATTTGTCATTAAAGTGCATCAGGATCAGTGTAAGAGGGGTTTATCAGAGAGGAGAGAGCACACACCCCCACTTATGACACAAACACACACACACTGAGCACTGGGTGTATTACGCGGTAGAAATACCTGAAGTCGACTTTCCCTCTCCACCTGTGTCTTTTGACTGGAAGCAGGGTGCGGGCGGAGTGAAGTTGGCTTCAGGCAGGCTGCTGTTGAAGGACGGCATGGAGGACGGCGACGGGGGCAGCAGTGTGCTGTTGGGGCTGTTGATGTCTCCCTCACCCACCAGTGTCAGGTCAGCGTGGGTGTCTTCCTCCACCGTGCGGAGACTGGGCCGAGGGATGGGGGACAGGTGGGTGCCGAACGCCGGATGGCGGGGAGGGGGTATGAGACACCTTCTAGTCCCAGAGGGTCCATTAGCACTAGAGCTAAGGGAGGAGTCCAGGCTTTCCGATCGAAAGCTGGAAGTAAAAGCACCTCTTGAGGAGACTCCGTTCTCCCTGCTCTGTTTTAGAGAATCCGGAGTGGAGGAGGCCAGGTCGGAGGGAGCGGGTGGGGTCAGTCGCAGGAAGTCAGGAAGTACCAGATCCTCTTTGTTCAGGAGGCCACGTTGGTCGTTGGCTCGGGCGCTCTGGGCTCGGCTCAGGAGCTCGAAGAATTCTGCAGAAACACAGAACATTTTTCAAAGTGAAACTCTTCATACACAGGAGCCTGATTAAAGAGAAAATTATTACTTTTATTCTGCATGCAGCGCAGCAGCCCAACACCTGACAGAGAAACAACCCTCTAGAGATGGCAAAGGTATCAGTTAGTCCTGAGGCGAAGCAAAGCTAAGAAATCCAACACAACTTTAAAAAAAAAAAAAAAAACTAGCAAGAGAAGGAGAAGAAGTTTTACCTTCAGCTTCATCTATATTAATCTTTTTCTGTTTTCTTTTTTCCACTGGCAGGGCTGAGTCTGGTCCACTTGCTCTCACAGAAATGTCCTTTGGTGCTGACCTCTCATCTCCCTGCAGATGCAACAATAACAATGCACTCTGTTAGGGGATGGAGGGACAGGGTGGGAGAGGAGGGGTCCTAAAGGGCCAAAGAGCTAAGTCATGACTGCCAAACATCCTACTGAGTCCAGATTCCAGATCCTACTAAGACTGTCATATAAGGACAAGACAGGTCTATTTGCTTGTTCTGGTTCTTTTTTTGACCTTGCTTGTGTCTACCAGCTGTCTCTGTGTGTTTGTGTGGCAGTGGAGTAAATCAAGCATGGGAAAATATGAGTGAGTGAGGTTGAGTAAGTGAGGCAGCCACAGGCAGTGTTAGAGAATTCAACAAACACACAAAAAAAGAATTACAACTAGTGGCATAGCATTAGATAAACGTGAAAAAAAGGTTAATTTGTGGTCAAACTAAATAATAACATTTCACAGAAGCAGAGCAGCGTCAGGAGAGGAAGGAAAACACCAAATGTGGACCTTGAGCACCAGTCTGAAAGAGATGTAAAATGTTTAAAAGACTCACGGTGGCAGAGAAACTCCTTGAAGGCGGGTGGTTTTTAAGGGAGTTGGACTTGGACTTGTCTGTTTAAGGAACATAAAAATGGGTAAGCGTTAAGCAGAACAGAAAGAAGGTTCAATTTTAGAACAACAGATGTGGGAATTGGGCAACCTTTTCCTGAAGTTGGATCTGCTCGCTCCAACACGACCCTCAGACCATCCAGACTGGATATAGGTGCACCGAGGTCCAGAGGCTTGGTTTCTCCACTCTGAAAGAAGTGAACATGGTTAAACATTCCATGCTATACTTTAAAACAATTAATCAACTTGAATCGATTAAACGATTTCCAATTTTCCTCAATCATTCATTTTGCTGCAGCTAACATCGGTTCAACCGTTGTGTCACAGAAACTTATTGTGATTCACATGATGCCAGCATTACTATACTGTTGTTAATGCTGTTATTTCTCTTTCTGGTTTCTCTCTCTCTTTATATATATATATATATATACACACACAAATATTTGTACTTTTTTCCACCCATTTTTGTCACCCATTCAAATAATTAATTAGCGGTATTGGATCGAAGGTCGTAATGGACACATGAATCAGCTGCAGCTCTACTACAGTGCATCTGGTCTGTTTGAGACAACACATTAACATATGGCTGGTATCTGTTTAATTTGTTTAGCTCTGGCAGACTGTATAACCCACTTATAGAAAACCACAGGACTAAAATAAATCATGTGGCAGAGATTTAGGGGAGGAGTAAAGAGTAAGCATGTTTGGGGAGAGTCATCATACGTGATTATAGCCCTTTTTCTCCATCTTCAGAGGTTGGGCTGAGTCACACAGCTAACCACTGCACAGAGATGGAAAAGGATGTGGTCGCTTTCCATCCCCTGACTATTATCCTCCACCCACTGCTACTGTCACACATTGCACACGCTGCCCTCTGGACTCACACTGGAGCTTCAAAAGACTCAAGGCATTGTCACCAATGAGGGGCTGACTTACTATTTTGGCCACGAGATCACTGAGGTGGAGGCCATATTTAGCCACCACGGGACGTAGGACTTCAGTCACTGGTTTGGTCGGTTTGGCTTTCAGGCCCACGGAGCGGTTAATAGGAACCAAGTCCAGTCTGAGTGAAGATAAATAATAAGAGTAAAATTTATATTATTAAACACAGGCAGAAAAAAAATGATTTGACTGTATGTGTTTGTTTGTTGTTGTTTGTACCGGAACAAAGTTCTTTTCTCAAGTCTTAGGTCTCGTGAGCTGAGTGTCAGACAGTCTTGGTCCAACACCAACGGCTACAGGAAGAAAAAAAAAGACACAAAACATAAGCAACAGATAAAAATGAGAAATAAAGCCAGGAACAGACTTTACTGTATTAACAAACATCAGAGTCCTTTCTCTTCTGCTTCTTTCCTTCCTGCTGCACACAGTTGTTTATAAAAGGCCTTCAATACAACAAGCATGTTAAGAAAAGTAAAGTGAATCTAATTTTTTTAAAGACGGATCAAAATGTATTTATTTTTAAACTGTCTCACAGTAGAGCTTTTATCTCAGGTGAATCAGCATCAGATGTTCCTAGCATTCGATACTGAGGTCTCACCTTTTCTCCTCCCACCAGAAAGAGGTCGACAGCAGCAATGTTGACGTTAATGTTTTGACAAAGATCGTGGAGGACTTCTCTGATGGAGGCACCTGGTCGAAGGTTGATGGAGGAGTTGGACCCATCAGGAAGAAGCACACTACAAAGTTTAGTAGAGCGTTCCCAGGCTCCGACTGAGTGGCGATTTTCCGACTGAAATAAATAAATAAGAGTGCTTAAGTATAAGTGTGTTATATTTTTGGAATAGAAGTAAGGGTAAGGAAATTTCGCAAATTCAATTGCGGCTAAATAAAAGTGGTTCTTAACTCTCTATATAAAACTAAGGAGGTGGCTGACAAGTTTAAAAACATCCAGTATATTATGACTAGAGCAGATACTAGGCTCTGTGTTGCCATGGTGATTTGTCCAGAGGAATCTTACCTCAATTTTACCAGCAGAGCAGGAAGTGGCCATTTCCAGACTGGTACCGGAAGACAAGGAACCCTGAGACTCCCTGCGTCCATTACTGCCCCAATAGTCTGGAAAGAGTATCAGAAATCATTAGATGAGTCATGGCAGTAAAAAAAGACCCCAGAGTGAACCTGTTGGAAAAGGACAATTATCTGCCTCTATAATGTCAACAACTGTTCTTGGACCAGTGAAAGCACCGGCTACAGCTCGTAATTTCTGATTATGATTGTACCTGCTAAATCTAGGACATGTTTAGTGTCAAATTGGTTTTAGATTGTAAATTATCCTCTCTTATATTGTCAAAGTGCATCATAAAATCAATTTTTTTATACTATTTTAAACAAATCTCACCAAGGTTTATGTCTCCTATCTCCTTCTTCTTTGGTCCTTTCCCAAAGCTCCTATTGCGGGACCAGGAGAAGAAGATCCCCCGTTTCTTGTCTGCACTTTCGTCCCTGCTGTCTTCATTCAGTGACTTCCCTGACCTTTGCTTTCTGATGTCCTGTGAAGAGTCAGAACAACAATTTCTATTCCAAACCGTCCAAACCCGAATGTTCATCACTGCCTTTAAAATGAACCCACAAAAAGAAAGTAAACAAACCCTTTTCGGAGTAGAAAGACTGGAGCGGTCAGAGCTGGCACTGTGTTTGGATGGTGCTGGACTACAGGGGATCTGGTAGGGGTCAGGCAAGGGTTGACCCTCCAACTCAGCCCGTACGCACTCCTGGTAAAGTGCGGACTTGAGGAATCGTGAGTAGCTGTCAAACTTCATCAGGTTAAAGATCTAGAGGCATGAAAAAGACAAGTGTGGCTTTAAGAAACCTAGTATTTGGAACAGAAAAGGAATGAAGGGTCAGTGGAGCCGAGAAAAAGAAGAACGGTGGAATGAAAGGTACAAGTGGTAAAAAAAACAAATATGGAAGCAGGATAAACCACCGCTGTTAATATATAGTTACAGCTAACGTTGTGACTTAGGGTCTCCATGAGTAGTGTTTCATTACGCTGACGTGTGAGCAGATCTTTGACTGCATGTCTATGTGTCAGTGTGTACAGTGCAGTATGCTCTGTGGGTGTATGCCAGTTTGTGTTTATCTCTGTGGTGGAGCCTCGTGGCCCTTTTGTAAACAAACCCAGATGGCCACCAAGGAGACCAATATGCTTGAGCAAAGTGACTAAAGGCAAGCTGGGAGCAGAACCCCAGATCAGAGAAATGTGAATGACCTCATCTTTCACTCATAGCCACAGCCACGAACGCAGTGATATGCTCCTTAATTTAACAAAGTAGCGGTGTGATTGTGAATACGCTGCATTCATTATCAGCCAGCACCCTTCCAGGTTTCCAGACTGTACCTGTAGCTGCTGCGTCTTGAACATGTCGGGCCAAGGTGAGGTGAGGACATCGTCAGCCAGCTGGGCCTGGCTGTCTATGTTGACTGGCATGGTGGCCTTGCTAGACAGAAAGCTGTTGTAGATCTCACCTGCTCTCTGGGAGAGCTGCAGGGAAAAAAAGTTACGGTAGTTTATCTTCTACTTTATGAGCAGATCACCAAACTTGTCCTATTATTTAATGTTAAAAACCTTACTTGTAACCAGATCAACAAATTTGGCTGTCAGGATAAAACCATCCAGAAAGCGTGTGTGGATAATGTGGCCATAAATTAAGTAAATCCACTTCCATACCTCAGATATTGTTTTTGCTAAATCACAATGTATATTATACATTTTATGTATATATTAATGATATATATTACAAAACATGATATACTGAATTTGTGTCACCTTCGAACCCTAAGGCAGTACTGCAGTAAAACCCACATCCTACCAGGTTAAAATTTGCTATGGATTGACTAATTAATTAATCGCTTGGGCTCAACAAGGGCATCGTGTGGCGTGGTTCCGTAGTGTAGCGGCTAGCAGGAACCACGTACTCTAGTAACGCGCTTTGGATAAAGCACCTGCTAAATGCATACATTTACATGTGACTATACCTATATATTTCCCAATGGAACAACTGAAAATGGCTTTATAAAATGATTGCTGTAATTAGTAAAATTGCACAACGATTCACGTGTTGATAAAACCACTAACAAAAACATTATTCACATCAACTTTATGATATGACCATTTTCCTTAAACATGGCCAGGACCACAGTCTAGAAGTGCAGGAAACCTTTAGCTGCGAATGCGTCGACGTACCTGCTTCTTATCAGTTGCAGGGACATGACTGAAGTATTCACAGGCCTGCCAGAACAAGATATTCTCCTCACTGAATTCTTTCTTCAGAAATTCCTGTTGCAAGAGAGTCCAAAGTTTTGTTTATTATCTCCAACAACTTTATTTTTCTTGTGCTGTTGCTGTTGTTCAGACCACTCATGAGTGGAGACATTATTACGAGTGTGATCCTCTGGCCAAAACTGGTGTGAGTGTGAGCGCGGGAGTGTGTGGGCAAGTGTGACTCTGATTAGTGGTGAAGGGAAGGTGTGGAAAGGAGGTGGGTATGGAATGGCATAACTTTCAGTGCCAAAGGTGTAATGGGCTAATTTGGACCACACTTTGTTATGTGGGAGGCTTGAAAAAGATGACTGTGCTAACTGAGCTGTATATTGAAGATGTGATCTGGATTTAAGCCAAGATTCAAGATGAGTGTGTCAAAAAAAGAGTTGTCAGATCATGACAATACTTTCATCAGATAACGGAAGGCTGACATATACTGTACATGTCAAGACAACTGAATGCCTTTTTTTAGTTAACTTCTATTACTTAATCCATTTCTTGGTCAAATGATTTGTCCTCGCAGCAGTCAACAAGTGGGTGGGGGTGAAGGAGGATGGGGGGTATTCTATAGTTTGCCAGCTTACACAGAGACAAACAATCAGAGGTTAGGGGCCAGGGGCCGTAAATACTGAATTAAAAAAGTCCAACATGTTTTGGATTGTGGGAGAAAACCAGGGATTTTGGAAAAAACTCTCACTCAGAGGGGAGCAGAGAATAGACATTCAAAATGTGAAAACAACTACATGACATTTTCGTCTTAATGAAACTGAAAAAACGTTTGTAAAATTTTTTTTTAAACCTACACCAGTGTATATATCATATATCATAACTGATTGTATGAGACTCATTGATTTAGGATATGACAGGTTCACATCCACTTACTGAGAAGTAGCGCACGCCCACTGGATCCTGGAGGAGATGTTCGAAGCAGGCGGCCCAGCTGGCCACACGCTGCTCTGAACCTCCGCGGTGGCTGCCTGCTCCTGGAAGACTGCCATTGCTGTTCAGGCTACTTTGGCTACAGCATCCCTGTAACTGAACTCCACTGTAGTCTGAAGGGAAAGGCACATAAGGAAGGTTGAACACCACAGTCCAACGGCATTTCCAGTCAGGGTGAATAAAACAACAATCGCTGTTTCTTTTTATATTTCTGTGGATTTCTTAAACATTTTTTTAAATTAGAGTTACATTTTTCACACCTGTACTTGATATTGATCCTGTAATCAAGATTTTATACTTTCTTCTGGGAACAATTTTGTGAAAATGAGAAATGACTAATTCACACCCATCTAATGACAATAAAAAATGAAGGTTTGGCAGATACGATGAGTAAAAAAGGATTTAAGTGATGCTAGGGCAAAAGATGGGCTAAACAATGAGGAAGTTAAAAAGGAGTAAAAGAAACAGTGGAGAGAGAAAGAAACATGGCTGGGGGTCCAGGAGCTGGTGGTAAACTACAGTTAAAGCCTCAGCCTTTTGTAGTACGTTCTGTCATTGCAGCAGATGGCTACAAGAGCACCAATGAGCAATGGAGGCATAAACACACAAAGAGACCAGAGTGTGATTGTTGCAAGTGTTTCATTAGGTGGAGAAAGAAACACTTGGCCTCGGCAAATGGTGGAAAAAGATGCTTACTTCACTACTCTGGTAAGGAAGGTTATTCTGTGCAATGTACTTCCAAAGTATTTCACTGTTTTAATTTTTATTATTATAAAAAGTAAAACTGAACTGACTTTATTATTTATGATGACGTTGTCTGTATGCACCGCCTGATTTTTCTAAAGGAGCTAGAACATTTTAAAGAAATTGTTTCGACCTCTGGTGGACAAAAGAAATCATGGATAACCAGCTACATATCCTGTGTCCAACTGTTCCAGTTGGCTAGCACAGTTAGCCATGATTAGCTGGCTAATTGTGGTAGCTTTAAGTTTAAACAGACTTTTGGATGTTTACACTCCATGTTTACAAAGTACTGCCCCCTGTTTACATGTAGAATTTGTTGTACTTCTGACATTAATCTCTAGGTACAAGGTATTTACAGTAGTGTTAGGTATACACTTCAAACTACAGTCTCTGTGTGTTGGACCAATTCTGCTCTTTTTTTTTACAACTTGTTACATGTGCATAAGAAAAAATACTAACAAATACTTCAAACATATCATTAGGAATCAACAGGTACAGTACAGACATGTCATTGCAGTACATGTCTGTACTGTATACAGTAAATCATTTAAGATAAAATCCATTTCAGAATTTATATAAGCTTTATATCCTAACTTTTACTTGTTTAACTTTTGGTTGAAATTGTAATGGAAAAAAACAGCAACAATAACAATTCAAGTGGACGTTTCTTCCCCCGGTTTACTGATGGTCCAATTGTTTGCTGTTGATTTATTGTATGAAGAGTGTGGCTTTGAAATGGGCTTTGACCACATTGTTTGCAGCTCACTTTATGAGATGGTTTCAAAAAACACAGTCCTGCACTGCTGAAAGGACAGCAACTCAGCTCTGCACCACAAACTTGATCAATGTGTTAGCAACTGCAGTTAAAAATGCCATGTCAGACAGGAGCAGGCAACATGCAAGCTGGCACTGATTCTGACCCAAAACACATCGACAAACACCCTTTGTTTCTGAGGCATGCTGCCAGCAGAGCGAATACATCACCCCTAATAAAACGTCTTTTTATTAGGAACTTTTAGTGAGCAACTAAACAATCCTCTGTTGTGGGCAGGAGCAGAAAATGACAATAACAAATGCAGACAGTGAAAAAAATAAATGCAGTATTATTAAGTAGTAGGAGTTTTATAGTGTAAATGAGAAGGCCAGGTGAGTGAAATCTTTAAAAAGCATCCTAACAAACAAGTATTTTACAGCCTCCAATATAAAGGCAGTTTTCTGCTGATTTAACACAAACGGCCTTTGATTTGAAATGGTTTTTATGTAAACAAGAGCAGTTTATCTTTAATTAGCAGTAAAGAATTGTACTCACCACCATCTGAAGAAGCAGCAGACTGGAAGAGAACAAAGAGAGACATGAGTGAGAAGCTGCTCTCATGACCTCTTGCAGTGAGACAAGAGAATGAAGACTGAGCTGATGTTAGCGGCGTCTCTCTAGACATCTGACCAAAAACTTCCAGTTGAGTGTGTGTGTGTGTGTGTCTTTTTGACTTGTTTGTGAATGTGTGTGTGCTGTTGGGGAACATTCATTTGTAAGTGGGTGGACCCCCAGTCGCTACCACACACAGCTGTTCACACCTCCACACCAGGACCCACCCCTCATGTTGTATTATCCACTCACACACACAATCACACTCCTAGCCCTGACGTACACATTCCTCCTAAGTGCTGTGACAAAGATCAGAGCTCATCAGGGGCACAGACACTTAAAAAGGCCATCGCTGGCTGTAATGGCCTCTTTTCATTTGCTAATTCAGAGGACGAGTGGTCAATGTGAGAAGGCATTCTTGAAAAACAGGCAAAGTTAACACTGAAACCTTTAATACCTGTGTGCAATTGAAGCATGTCAGAACTCGTGATTGCTCAACTACCATTCACTTAACGTTTAACTAGAAATAATTTGCTGTACATCGTGTTAGATTAACCTAATAACAAACCTGTAATGCCACAATGGTGGAACTATGGTAAATATGATAAAATGCAGAGGAGGACATGAGAGGTGGCTTCTTAGGGTCTGGTCCAAGAACACTAAGGATCTGTGCGTTGGAGGATTCATCTATTTCCAGAAGCGTGTTTTCTGAGCTGCCACTTCAAAGTGTAAATATGCACGGCTGAAGATAATGCTGTCAATGTAGCAGCAGCACACACCATGTGCTTTGTTGCATAAAAGTTGATTTTTCAATTTTATACCAGTAGGTGCTAAAAGTAGAAACCAATAAAAACGTTTTGTTTTTTTAAATCCCATCACCATAGGGATGCTGGCTCCTGTTTGTTAGTAACTGACCTAAACATACAGACAGCTGCCTCTAAAAGCCATAAATAATGAGGTGATGTGTTGGGGTTAGCAGGATTGGCTTAGCTTATTCTGCTTAATTTAGCAATTCTAGGCATTAAGTGTAGATATACTTGTGGGGTTGCTGCAGAGGTGTGAAGTAAAGCACCGTCAGACGTCTCCAGGTCCCACTGAGGTGCACTGAGCATGGCACCATCCCCACACACTGCTTACATGCATATAGACATTTTCACTTCACTAAAGTCATGGATTAAAGGCAGAGGACAAATTTGATTGTGTGCGGTGGTGTGCTACACAATAATTCACTTTTAAATTAGTTTACATGTCAATTTGCAGACACATCTGACGTTATTGTAATTGTATTTAAATTGTTAAACAAGAACAAAAGTTTTATAGGAATTTGGAAGTGGAATTTTGAAGGAAGTGTGTGGATGTGAGAAAATGTTTGAGAGCCCCTGCCTTATATGATGTGATGATGAAGCGTACAGTTGTAAAGCCGATTGTGTTTTGTTTTAAAGTATGACAAAATGTAAACATTTTTGCAAACTGTTGCTGAAATCTATGCGCTTCACTACACAAGAGAGCTCTTTGCTATTTTAAGCTTGGCAGCCATATTGTCATGACGACTGACTGTTGGCTGATTAGCAGTACAGTATATTTGCTTCACTTTCTTTAACTTTTTTTGATTTCTTTATAGCATTAATAGTTTTCATTTTGTGTACATGTTCTGGATAAGATTTATAAGAGTTTATAGCTCCACATTTAGCACTTGATCGATACTCCTTGGAAAACAAGTCCAGACTAGTTTGTCATCCCCCAATTTGAAGGCAGGCGATACAGCTGCCGTCATGTGCACTGACTCAACACTTAGTTCCATTTTGGGATCAGACCACATGTAAAGGCTCTATCATACATAGACCACTTAACCACTAATTGGCCCTTGCTGCCTCCTCACAACTCTGCTACTGCAGAGTCCAACTTCATATAGTCTACACCCAAACACCAGTCCCTCTGTGGTGGTGAAGTAATCATGGGTGGGTCGGACGAGGACCAACATGAAGCTGAAACAGGAGAGAAGGAGAGAAGAAAAGGGAGAACACCCACTCCATCTGTCTGGACCCTTAGATCTATAACTGGCAGAAACCTCTATGGCCAAATATACAGACTGTTACGACTATGGTTCATCTTAAAGAACACGACAGACATCACACACAGTGACGCATGTGCGGGTTTCCAACAAACAACAAGATGTCCTGGAGCTGAAACTATAAAATTATAATCAGATCACTTATTTATTTTGTCCCTTGTGCTTCATATAGACATAATAAACATCATCAACTTTGTGAACTGAAATTTCTGCCCAATCAGTCACAGACTGACTTGCGAATGACTCATGATAAATTGCTCTGAGCACTGACTTGCCACTGACAAATGAGGTCACATCCTTAAACCATGTCTCTGTCAGAAAAAAAAATTATGTACATGACAAAAGTGCCACTACTTGCGTAAGCAGGCTTAAGACATTATTCAGTATTGAATGATCTGATTGAGTTCACTTTCTTTTACAAGGGTATATTTTAAGGGTATAATTGAACAATTTCTCTGACAAGTGATGGGGTAATTTTGCCCAAAAATAATGACAGGAAAATTCGAAAATGAAATGTTCCAAGAAATGCAACATGACATGAATATTATTACCACAAAAATAAATAAATAAATAAAACACTGCTTTCTAATTCGATTCCATTCTACAATAGCAACAAGTTGCCTCAGAAGGGCTGAGAACTATAATGTGTGATGTGTGTTTGTGTGTACGAGGCTGCAGGGGTTAGACCACACACACCACAGTGTGTTTTCCGACTTGTTACTGCTTCCTTGACCACAAGTCCCCTACAATGAAGAACTAGTGATGACCCAGCCACACCATCAGACTTCCTGTTTTACCACCTCTGGTGAAGAGCTGGCCCACTGTGAGGGGCTCTCTCGTGTCACAGACCCTCCTTTGACCCTGTTCAAAGAAAGTGGTTTAACTCATATCCCTCCAACAGCTGCAAATGCTGAATCAATATCCTTAATCAGTCCTAATCATAAATTAATTCCTAGTCAGACCCTGGCTCTGAAGTACAGTACCATTGCAGAAGAGCCCCCCACCCACCCTCGCCTTTCAGTCTGGCATCTCAAGACACCGCATGCCAAAGGAACGTAGGTGATCATGCCGACAGATTTATGTGTTTGATCTACAGTGAGACATCACGTCTCTACCACGTACTAGTGTCAGTCACCTCAATTCATCGATATGCTTCTTATTGTGTTTTCTAACGCTTTTCTGAGATTACTTAAGTTTTACTTGGCTCAAAACTGCACAAAATACAGAACGGTTCGTGTGCTACAGTGCCTGGATAAAAGTCGAAATATAAAAAAATATATATATATATATATATATATATATATATATATATAAATAAATAGTCTGCATTTACTAAGTCCAACAGATCTTTAGAATAATTTAAACTAATTTTTATGATAATTCACTATTTCACATTCAGAATACGATGTAGCTAATTCAGTTCATGCAAAATCTTCAAAGACTTTTTTTTCAGCCAGCAGCCCATCACATGGTCCATACTGGGCACAGTTAACAGAGCACTTCCTTATGAAATTCACCACAACCTTGGATAAATCAGTTTGCATTTGTTCACATAAAAGTTAAAATGACAAAGTGAACTTTTGAGGCTTAAACGAGACTCATTCTGTCCATTGAACTTGTTACAGCTCGTTCCTGCCTTTAAAACCCAGGGACTGGGAAATGCTCTGTTAAATCTTCAACAAACAGTTTTAAAAAGCACCAAAGTCAAGTCAAAACTGATTCTTTTGCCCTGCAAACAAACAGGCAGGCACGAGTCACCACCAGCTTCAAACAGCTGTTTTCAGTGGCAGAGAGACACGAGCAACACTAAGGGAAAATTATGAGAAAAACAGCTGACTTAACAAAAGGAGTACCCCAGCTCCATAGGAGGAAGGAGGCCTGGTTAGAAAGCCACAGTTTACTTACGGAGCCAAAGTTCCAGGTCCTCTTGAAGGATAGTCTCTTTTTGAGACTCATTGTTGCCTGGACTGCTACAGCAGCAGCGCGCAGAGTGAATGTGTGTGTGGAAACACATACCTGAACATTCCCCACCCAAAACTCCAAAAACCATGTCTGTACAAGTCAGAGAGAGGGGAAGAAGAGGGAGGGAGAAAAAAGAAATCTGACAAGGGTAGAGGACAAAAAGTGAGAAGAATGACTGAAGGGGTGAGAGAGGAGGAGAAAGAGGAGGAGAAAGATGGTTGGGGTACAAATGAGGAGGAAAAAAAAAAGATTTCCTTACTTTGCAGTTGTTGCCGCGGCAACGCAGTCGACAATACATAGCGCTTATGCCACAGTGGCATAAAGGAATCAAATGAAGAAACCCCAGCACCACCAACACCACCATCTCCACCAACACCACCCTTTCCACAAAACACACACTCTCTATGTCAAAACCACACTGGCCTTTCCCCCGCTTTGTTTCCAGTCCTGGGCAACTCTCGCTCTCTTCGCTTGAATGAGAGCAAAAGTACTCAGTCAGTGAGTTTAGATGGAATCCAGATGGATTTCGTTATATCAAAATAAAACTTTGGTTGGCTACGAGCAGGACTCTGAGTTTCATTATCTGCTGTCACACAGTGCTGTTTTGTCTGCCCCCGCAAAATGGTAATTCTGTCAAATTCTGCTTTTTCTTTTAACCACAATTCAGCTCATGTACAAAAAAAGGAAATAGTTCATAATTTAAAATTGAATTTCTCTACCTCAATTTCTTACAGATCTACCTTCAGCCCTCTTGACTGTTTTCTCTCCAAGAAACTGTTATTCTTGAAGTGTGAGCTGCTCAATCTGAGGTTTTCCAAGTCGGAATAGAGGGCAACATTCTTTAGAACTAAACTGGCCACAAATAATTGATGGGATACAGTGTTTATTAACAAGGCTGCTTTTTGTGGAATTGCGCCACTGTAATTGGATTA